AGATATTTAGTGTAAATTTTAATTATTTCATAAAGTTGTTGGGTGTAAAATTTTAACTTCTACAATATTATTCATCATATACGAGAAAGATGCGTATCTTCATTCAACATTTCTCATGAATCAATTTTTTTTTCTTTTGAAATTTCACTAAAAAAACAATTCTATTTTTCTTTACTTTGCCTCGTACTAACTATGAAAATGTATGTTCAAGTGGTAAGTTGTACATTTTATGTGAATATATTAAGAAGATATTACATTACTATTGGTTGTTAAATATACTCAAATAAACTTAATTAATAACATAACTTTTTACTAAAGAAAAAAACTCTCTTTCAATAGTTTTTATAGAATGATCCTAATATACATATATATATATATATCTCTTTTTTTCACATGCTAATTATAAAATTGTAAGTACAAATCTTAAGTTATGGGTGTACATATTAGAATATTACATATTTATTAATGTTACATCATTAGTACATAAATCTAACATAATTAATACATATATATATAAGTTGAACCACCAAACATAATCATAATTTAGTCTTCGTCGTCGTCGGAAGAAGAAGAAGATGAGGATGAATCTGAGGAGGTTAATGCGTGAGAATCAAAGCACAAGTAGGATAAAAAGGAGAGATTAAAATGGTGAAACTCAAGGAGAGAGACACAGAAGAGAAGGTACAAGACTTGGTCGCTGCTCAATCTCTCCGGATTGCTTGCCTAGTACTGACACAAAGTCGCTGATATTACAAGAGTAGGAACAAAGGGAGAGACAGGGAAAGAGAAGACAAACAGGGAAGTCATAAATAGCGAAGCTGTAAACTAAGTACCTAACTTGGAAATATATATATATATATATATCTTAAAATAATTATAATTTTTATCCAAATTATACCACTTAACTATCTAGAAAATGATATCTTTAAAAAATTAAAAATTATATTGGCCTGAAATGCATTTTGCCAATATTTTCATTGAAATATAAAACAAAAATTTATTTATGACTATTTTTTTTGTCAAATGGCAAAAATAATTAATTTCCACGCATCGTAAACTTAACAGCTAAACATAATGAAATTTTTTTTTCATATTTTAAGTTTCAAAAATAAGAAAATTTTATTACCATAATCTATTTATTGATAAGTATTACATGTAAAACACACACATATAAAGAGACATAAACCCTTAAAATAATTTCTCAGGTAGCACTATTATCATTGTTGTTGTTGTTGTTCTCGATGTTCTCATTGTCATTGTCTTCCATAGGCATAATCATCTTTCCAAGTCCAAAACCCATGAGCTACAGATGATTCTTGGACGAATTCTGAAGGTTATCTCCATCATTTAGATTGATACCTGATATTTTTATTTGTTCATTCTCAAATTTTTGATCAGCTATAGTAAGTCTATCAATCATTTTATCGATATCCTTTGAGAAATATTTAATCTTGCAACTAAGATCTTTCACATCTTTTGCTGTTAGGTTTGTCAAAGTCTTACCATTCAAGCTGTCGAACATGAATTGTATAATCTCCTTATCACGATTGTCCTTACGTAGTTTGTTGAGTTGATCCTTTATTTTTTTTCATAGATTGCTTAACAAATACCTCTTGATTCAACATCTTTTTACTCTGATCTATCTTTGACATTGCGTTGAAATCATTGAGAACACTTTGAACGCCGGACGGAGATGGCCAAACTTCAGGTTGAGTGTTATAAGAACTGTAAATAATCATGCACATGTTAATACCACATAAAGTCGCTAATTCACTGGCCTTTTTCATTAATCCCTTCTTTCGTTTTTGGAATGTTGTTTTTCTAGTTGACTCATTAGAAATGAGAGCGAGCTTCATCTTCCTTCCCTTCATATTTTGAAGACAAAATAGAAGATTTTGTTTGTTTGTACCTAAACAATCTAATGCACTAAATACTTATTTATAG